GTGGTCGACATGTCTTCATCTGGCAATAGAAGACTGTACCTTGGCAAGAGACGGAAAAAAATTCCTGTCTCGTCAAAGCTACTAGCAATTGTGGATCGGTCTTGTTGACTTCAGTTCCTTCTCCATGAAGCAACATCTTCTGCAACCCTCGTCTTTGCCTGAATCGAGTAGCCATTGCCATGACGCCTTGAAGTCGGTTTTTGGTATCGATAAACTCACTGCAATGTTTTTCGCCTTGGCGATGGCAAAAGACGGTGGAACAGGAAGATTGCCTCGACGCATCATGTCAATCCACATGTAAAGCATGTCTTCAACCTCGGTGAAACGATCAAGTGACGATCGAAATGTATTCTATTTAGCTTCTTCCGACATTAAAGCAGATCTTTCTAAAATCTGCTGCCGCTTCTCTGATAGCGCCTTCGCTGACATTGTATTCTTGCGCTATAGCCCTTTTACTTAGAGCATTTGTTTTGCTCAGCTTCGCTACTATTTCGCATCGCTGAGACTCATTGAGACGTTTCTCACTCGTGTTCTTCGACATTTCAATAACGCGAAACGGTGAAGATGAAGAATGAATGTAAAGCGTTTCTTTCGTAAAGCCAAAGAAGTCTCCTTCGAACCCAAGGGGGACTCGACCAGCGGGATAGGGATGCGTTATGCTTGAGTACTTGGCCCGCTCAGATCGTTGCAGGACACATTGAACATGAAGACGGAGCTCGTTATCGGAAGCTCCTCTTTGAGTTATGGAACCACTCAACCAATTATTAGAAAACTTCGGAAAGAAAGAAAGTTGCAGCGTTGCCGAGAGTCTACCTCTTTGTCCTGTGCCAGCAACAACGACAAATCTTTGTATTGATAGGCACTCGCTCACTCGCTCTTTCGCTAACAGGCGACACGACGCGGTGATGACTCGCGAGTTTCGTCTAATCTATTGATGAACTATTCAACAACAACAACAAACGATCAACCAAGCCTCATGTTCTGATTGTTTCTTCATCAATTGTTGCTCTAGCCGCTTCGCTCTCATCTACATCTCCCCCCTAACCTCATAGGTCGATGGGGCGGTGGTGTCGCAAGGAGAATTCTAACAGGTAGGAGTGATCGCTTTTGTTTCATGACAGATGGAGCGGTGGTTTTGCAAGGAGAAGTCTAACAGGCAGGAGTGTTTGCTTATGTAACATAAGCGATCACTCCTTATATTACACGCTTATGTAACATAAGCGATCACTCCTTATGTTACACGCTTATGTAACATAAGCGTGTAACATAAGCGCTTATGAAACATAAGCTATGTTTCATGACAGGTGGGGCGGTGGTTTCGCAAGTAGAAGTCCAACAGGCAGGAGTGATCTTTTATGTCTAAAGTACGCACTTACCGGGTAAGTACGCACAAACCTACCAAGTTCAAGGTGCGTACCTAACCGGGAGACTACTATACATTATGTTATAAGATATGATTAATAATTGTGCAAAAATTATTTTAATCTTAAAAATCATGTTTGAAAACTAAATATGTACACACACATATATACATAAATTTTTAGAATTTCAAGAAATATGTAATTTCATAACCATATTTGATTAATATCAAATGATATTTGCAAAAGAATTGACTATAAGTATTCATATTTGATTGTGGTGAGATTGATGTAGATCTAAAATTTAAGACAATTTTTAACAATTTATAACATCAAATATACAAAATTTACATACGGTTAGTGTTGATGAATAAAGAATGTTAGATCTATCTAAATAATAGATGTTTGTAGAGTTTTGAATGAATATTGTAAAATATCTAAATAAATTTAAATCCATGATATATTTTTTGATTGAAACTCAATTTATACATTCTGAAATTATTGGTGAAAATTTAACTTTTTTCATCTAAAAACATATAGAATGTTCATATGTAAAATTGATATAAAACAAAACGATCTAAATACTCTATCAATACATAATAGAGGAAACCATTAGAAACAAAGACTAGATCCAAATAGTAACACATTTAATATTTTGGTCGTAAAATATTAAAGATATTTGAATGATCAAGATCACTCGTGTATATGCAACACCGTCATATGATATAGCATCACGTAACATCAATGTTATTATCTTAACAACACTAACTAATGAATTTTGTAGAATAATAGAAATATTTTGCATGATATAAGCTACACAATATGCCCAAAATGTAAGTTTCATGAGATTTATAATGGTAGGTTTTTATTATTTTGTTAATCTAAAAAACTTATCAAATTTCCAGTACGTACTGACATAAGATTTCAATGGACAAGGGCAAACAACTCGATGATTTTATGCATACATGATACTTAGAAACAATGGCGGTTGGCATACCGCCCCATTCATCCGTCCATGAATAAGGGGAATCACCCACTCTGAAACTATTCTTTAAATAGTTTCAGAGAAAAATAGATAAAAAATATTTCACAATCGCCGTAGAATTTGAAGTTATGCTTGAATCAAAGAAAATGTTTGACTTTGACATGTAATAGAATTATGCTTAGTGCAATTTTCTAGCATGCAAAATAGATAAATCTAGTCATAATAATATGTATACTAAAGAGCGGTAATGTTGGATTTCATAGTTGGAATGTGGAAATATACAATCTTCACACGATCAACCAAATGTACAGTGTATCAGCGTATATTTATATGAAAGTATGAGAGATTTGCTTGATGGGACCTCATCCAAAGATAAATTGCTTGATGGGACCCATCAAGTTTCAAAATACTCGATGGGACCCACGGACGGTGTGCCGTCGCTGAGTTCTAGTAGGTGTTCTAGTACGGGTATGATCTTGTAAGAATATGTAGCAAATGGAATCTATGCAGGTTCCCAGATCATGACAGCCTGATGACCGAGTTTGATACTCACATCCCCAATAATATACGGAGTAGATCAACTCGTTTCCTATTTCATACCTCCTTCGAACGGTCTGAACATCTTAGCCCAGACATAGACGCAAATGCCATTTTTCATCGTTTTGTTTCACACATGATTTGCAACCTTCGTCTCGCTCCCTTAAGACTTGCACCAGACACTGCACAGACGTCGACTGAAAGGCAGAACCTGGACATTCTCTTCGGATGCATTCAGAATTCTTGGACGTCGAGACCTCTCGCGATCAGCGTGTATTTATGTGTACGTATCACGTGGTCGACCGAAGAGTTTGTAGTTGGTCTAGACCAGGAAAGTCCAGTGCGATTCATGGACTCGAGGGATGCATGACTGAGGGCGAGAGTGGGCTGCTGCAGATCAAGGGTCGAGTTTCTTAGTCACCCGAAAAGAGCGTTGAGACTCGGCAGCACATGTATCAAGCGAGAGCACGAGAGCTGCACCCTCAGAAGTGGTGCAGCAGCCGTATGAATATGCATAAGCTCTGCTGTGCGGCTGTTGGCTGGCTGCGAAGATGGTAGAACCCAAGAAAGTGTTTCAGCAGGCCAGACTCTACGCAGTGATGCGAAGGGCGAAACGAAGTATCACGTGACATTTTTTCATCTTCTCCATCTTACCGTCCCATTCTTCCCAAGAAAGTGGTTCAGGAGGGCTAGATTCCACGCAGCGATGCGAAGGGCGAAACGGAGTATCACGTGCCGAAGGTAACACGAAGTGTAATTCACGCACCTAGAACAGTGTGACATGTACCGTCGGTGGGGTCCCATAAGGTAAATTGAAACTTGATGGATACCATCAAGCAATTTACCTTTCGATCGGGTCCCATCAAGCAAATATCTCGCATCTATATGGACTAACTCAAAATATCAATTTGAATTGTCCGGGGTTTGGAAATTTATACAAAACCAGAGGATATTGTTTGAAGAGAATCAAAAAATACAACCTGAAAACTGGGAAACTGAACTTATCTGCGGACTCCGCTTTATGCTCTCAAACCCTCCTCCACGCTCGTGTTCGGTATGGAGAGCCTCAGCTCTTTGACGGACGGCATTTCGCAGCTCCTGGCCTCGGGACGGACAGAAATGCTATTTATGAATGACGAGGAACTGCCTCGTTGACTGTGGGAAACTTTCCGAGGGGGAGCCAGCTGGCTTCGTATGATGGCATGACCGGAGGCCACTGGAAGGTGATACTCGCGGGCTACATTCGGAAGTCGTCGCGTTTGACAGTCCAGTCCTTCGGACCAACAGTCAGCGCTGTGGTCCGAAGTAGCTTCCATTCCACTCTACAGACCTGCAGACTTTTGCTGGCCGTTAGTACTGCGTCTGGTTGCATTTCGAAGGTGAGGATTTCTTACTGATCCGTGGCTGCGCAAATGTCGGCATCGGCTTTCCATCTCGATTTTAAAACTTTCATGTGTCCCTCCACACATCAATTCTGAGTTCTGCATCATGTTGGGATTTAATCGGAAGTTGAATGCACTTTTCAACACCGTCCGGTAGCTGAATCTGTAAAAGGATATGCCTCTACCTGTACATACGGAGTCAATCGTGAGATTTAATTTATGTTACGTTCATCTCCGACCTCTGTTCTAGTCAAAGCTTCCTCCTTGTGTCACGGAAACGCTCGGCTTTCGGAGAGTTGAGATGTTTGAGAGCATAAGGAGCTTCGTGTGTTCAAAGTAGGATGTACGACGTGTGCCGTCGTCTCCATATTGATGTGCAGGGTACCTGATGCTGACAGCAGGCGGTGTGGATAAATTTACCGGTCGTTTTTTAAATCAGTGTGTCGTGTAAGGAGTTCGGACTGACGTGAAACAATGCAACAATCTTATTGCAATTCTTGCGATGCGGACTTTTAACGCAACCACCAGACGAAGATAAGAGGTTTCTGCTCCCACCATGTGCAATAAAAGGTCCTCTTTAGTCGGTAATGAATTAGCTCCATTATAACTTAAAAGTATAACGGTGAGGGCCAACAGTTACAACAATGCTGAATGGACCACTCACTGCATGAGCCTTCCTTGAATACTGTCCAGAGACTGTCAAGCATTTGCAAAATAACAAGCACCGGGGTACTAGGAGTTGTTGACCGGATAGATTTTATAAAAATGACTTGGGAGTTACAGAAGTGAACATTGGGACGACCAACTTTTGGATCGTGTGAGCTAGTGTACCTTTCATACGTAATTAGTTTGATGGCTATGCAGAAAACTGCAGAGGAACAATTTTCTGAAAAGCGCAAAGGCCGGCCTCAGAGGTGGCCTGCCTAGGCTGGCCTTTGACGATTGATCGCCGCCTCCGGAATCCACTACATCAGTGTGAGACCCCACGTGTATATAAGGGAGTAGCCGAACCAGTATAAAAGTGAGCAACCTGGGTCAAAAAGTGTAAATAACAGTCTGGCTCCTCCTTCGCGCCTAGACGTCAGTATTCCTGTGGTTTCTATGTGATTAATCAAATTGTTTCTCTCCTGTGGCGAAAACATTCCAGACAACCGTTCCCAAGAGGTAGAGTCCGACGGCTACCTTAAACACATCATCCCAAGACCCTGAATGGCAAACACAGACACGTTAGAACCAATTTCACCAAGATAGGGGGACGAACTTGAGGTCAAAAGCTTCCGGAGGATGTGAAGGAGGGTAGGAACAAACCGTGTTGAAGAATGTATCCAGTTGCGGCTGTCCCGAACACTCCAGCTAACACACCTGCTGTGTTTGAGAGACCCAATAGGATGCCCTTTAAAGCAAACGTGTCCAAAAGTTAGTTAGGTAATAAAAGAACGACGTGAGACTTGGCAGCAGGATATCTTCAGAATAGACAAATCACGAAATCGAAACATGTCCTAGATCTGATGAAGTCAGAAAAAATTACTGGCACCTTAAACAGAAAGAAACTCTCACAAACAATGTAGATGACTATGATATAATTTGGACAGCACAAGAATCACTGCACAGACTTCGAACGATTGAGAATTATTCATGAAAAACCCTGCAGATTGTTGATCCTGCTCCTCTGAAACAAAATGTAAGTATTAGAGAACTTACTGAATAACGAGGGCCGATATCCTGGTGGTTGGAGTACAAGCCAGATTGGGAGAAGGCATCCAATCCCTGAAATGATATGGGTAGGGGTTCAGACAAACAGCCTTCTTGTGTCAAATACGTCTCAACCTTCTACGTATAGTGTGAATATAATGATGAGTGTACTGGCAAAGGACTTGTTGAGAAAATTGGCTGGCGATTTGAAACACATAGCTATTGGTGCAATCTGGTACGTACCTGTGAGCACATCATACACAACACTGCCAGCGACGGTGACGTGATGTGGCTGAGCTGAGTAAGGAAGAAAGCAGGACCTAAGAAGCCGATGCTCTGCATGATCTGGAGGACAGTAAACGATACACCAAGTCAGGACAAAAACATCTCACAAGACACGCTGCTCGAAATGTGGCAACGATCGTCATTCTGTTACTGCGACCAAGAAGCGGATGTCAACGATACGATCGACCTCTCTTTAAATCGACGGTCGTGATTTCTTCTGACACTGAGCTCTGGCTATGTCTTCGGAAATTTGAAATCATGACTCGACGGTGTATTGGAAGGGGTCGCCGATTTGATTCTGCAAGTTGTTTCATATTCTATAATCTTCTCTAGTGGTAACTTTATTATCATTCAATAAAATTGCAGGGTGGGTGAGAAACGAAGCGAAGATTCGTGTAGTTCCAAACCTTTCGAACGAATGTGACAGAGTACCCTTTGCTCACGAGGGTATCTGCTATCCAGCCTCCTACATTAGCTGAAACAGCCATGGTGAGCCATGGAAGGACAGAGAACAGCCCTGACTCCATGAGGTTGAATCCTAGAACCTGCAGCGGCAATGAAAATCTCCGGAGTCACAATCAGTCATACATCCGAAGTCATGCTGCAGGAGATTGAGAATGATAGGGGTGAAGAACTAACGGATGCTCAAATGCACTTAAGTTGGAGACTAACGAGATTTGTCGCAAGTAACTTAGAAGCTCACGTCAATCTGCCACAAAGTTCCTGAACTATTTCTTCGAGTGGCTGACCTGGTTGTAGTAGGTGGGCATCCATGTCAGAAGTATAAAGGTACCCCAGTTGTGGCAAAAATGGCAAATAATCAACGCCCAGACAGGTGCTTTTGACAGAATGAGGCCCCAGGGAATCTTTTCGAGTGGATCCCTGGGCTTGTTGCTTTTAAATATGAGCTTGGACTCCTCTTCGCTGATAGTTGGATGTTCCGCAGGCGAGCTGAATGCCTGGAGAAAAACCCCAAAATCTTAAAGCAAGGAACGAATTTCTTTGATGAGTTGGATGTTGCACTTGTCGCATAGGACTCAGGACCATCTTTAGGGACAATCAGCACCATCATCCAGGAAGTTTGAGAAACTGCAAAATTAATGAAGTTGCAACTACTTAGAGCAAAACGTTCTAGGCATAGAAAACCGATTGCACTTCATACAGATAGATACAAAGAGTTGACTTACGAAGCGCTGCCACAGGGTAAACCAAATGGCGCCAACAGATCCAAAAGAAAAGAAAACAGATGGCCAGCCGAAGGCGTGGATAAGGGACGGAGAGCAAGCTAAACCGATAACGGAACCCAGGTACATTCCACTGTACACCAAGGCCAAAGATCTACTTCTCTCCTCAACAGGAATCCATCGGGAGAGAAGATTATTCATAGCCGGCATTGCAACACCCTGAAAAAGTCCCAAAAATGAGTTAGAGACACGGGTAACCAGTGACCGAAAGTGATCATTCAAAACTTGTTCAGCTACATCTGAAAGAAGAAAGAATGAGATTCTCGTCCAAACATTATGATGAGTGTTGAAGGCAACACAGCATGCCACACTACCTACCTAAGAATCGGCCATAAACCTGGAAATCGGATGTGACAAGTCTGCCTACCTCTCCTACACCCATACAAGCTCGCACGAAGAAGAGAGCTGGGAGACCGATTTTTGCCGCAATCGGTGTTGCGATCGTCGCGAGAGACCACCAAACGACACCGAATCCTAAAACTTGCTTACCACCGATTTTATCAGCCCAGACTCCTCCTGCAATCTAGAGTTACAAGCAAAAAACTGTCACTGTCATCAACTCCATAAATATTTGTAAGCTTATTGAACTATGTAACTCTGGTTCATTCTCGGTCAATTCAGAAAGTCGGGTAAACTGCAGATTTCAGGCTTGACAACGATGACGGCTAATTGAGGCCTTAAAAGGGGAGAGGTGATTGGAAGTTGGCGTTGCCAAATGCGTGTGGTATTCTCCATCGGCTGACAAATATTCATTTGCTGACGTGAAGCTCAATTATAATTCATCTGAGTCAGCTAAGCTCCATAACAGAACTTCGTTAAAATTCACAGATTAAACTGCTTCATCTATGCCTGCGAAGTCTTTCAGAAGTGTAGGGAGTAAAAGACATCACAAAGTCAAAAAAACTAAGAGGCGAACCTGAGTAAGCAGATATCCCCAGAAAAACGAGGACTGTACAAGGCCAACAGTAGTTGGACTCCAACCGAATTCGGCTGACATTGGCATGATTGCAATACTCATATTGACCTGCACCCAACGGAAAAGGCACTGTTCAGCTACATGTTTTTGGGCTTAATTCAATTACAAGAGAACCAACAAGTCAGAGAATAGGGAAAAAGTAAATAATTGATCAGCCTTTTACAAGTTCGAATACTTAGTTCATTGTGAAAGGCAATAGCGAACAAGGTACAACTGAGATCGAAGAACTCACACGATCCATGTTGCAGAGCAGAAATGCAAAGAAACAGAGAATGACGACAACCCAACGCTTGGGCACTGACTCGAACCATGTCTGCGCTTTTGTAATGTCGATTTCCTTCTTCAATCCTGTGCTGGTCTCAACTAATTTACTGGCTAAGTCATTAAGCTCCAAACTTTCCTGAAGTGTTTTTTCCTGATCGCCAACATCTGCTCTTGTGTCAAACTTAATTTCTCCGATATCCAAATTTTCCGACTGAGGTTGCTGACTCCTGGCTACGCCCAAATCAAGCCCTCGCCTCGTATTCCACCTGTCCAATGGAGTCCCAGAAAAAATATAGCGCATAATTCCGTCCGTGGTTTTCTTTCTACATCGAACTTTACTCATGCCCACGTAAGCGCTGAAACTTCCAGATTCACTTCGAGCATTATTATTTACAAAGGTCTCCAACCTGCTACAGCTACAAAACTGAGAAGAAGCTCTTCGCTCCCACAAACCCGCGTACGGCGCAGCTATCCTCGCGGAAGCAGTTTTCAGACCGGTATTCATGATACTTTGTGGTGTCATGGTGAGATGCAGGGCTCTTCCTCGTCCTCTCATTTCATAATAATTGCTGCTGCACCATGACGATTGCGATGAGATAGTACGGCCCCTTCTGGAATCAGACTGGGAGTTGGTTGTCAAATTCTTTCGTAGTCTGCTTCCACCTGTCAGACATTAGTTTTCTCGTGAGCTCAGAACTCTGACTGCGCAGATAATAACGCAGGACGCAGCGACTTACAGGCACGCAGCGCAACATGGAGCATCAAAGGACGAAATGGACGACGTATCCATGAATTGCAGAAGCCATAAACCTTGGTCTTGGTCCATGGGCCATCACGATCACCAACTAATCCGTTCACAACTGAAATCTGTGAGGCCAAGCTCAGCCCTCGCCACAACCGGACCATTCTCAGCCCAATCCTCCCCGGATCAACGACAATGCTAGGAAGCTAGAAACTCAGAAACCCCATGACTCCAGACTAGAAAAATGAGTAGGCAGGTACCTGAGATGCTTGCCGGTGCCGGGAGGGAAAGCGAAGCAGTGGCACAGGACAGGGCGGAAACTCCTGCCATTGAGTCACGGAGACTCGACCAACAGAGGGGCGACTGTCACAGCTTCAGCGGACTCGCGAATTCTTCATCGGCAATCGGACACGAGTCAACAGCAGCTACGGCATTGTCGCACCATTGCGCCCCACCCCAGCCCTCGCTCGTCGACGAAGTATCGACGACGAACGCCCGCACGGGTGGCGCCCGGATAGAGAAGGAGAGAGAGAGAGATATGGCCGCCCCTGCGCTGCTGCTGCTGCTGCTGCTGTCCTGTCCTGTCCTCTCGTCTCGTCCCGTATCCTGCTCGAGCCTCTATTCCCTCCTACACAAGAATCCCCCTCCGCGCCACCTCCGACCTTTTCGAGCGCCCGGCCCTGCCACCGATTTCCGCTCCTCCTCCTCCTTCTCTTTCTCGTCGTCCTGCGCTCGCTCGCTCGCTCGACCATAGCCTATCGTCTCGTGCACCATCTCCCTCCCCCGCGCCTCCGCGCCTTTGCACGCCAACGGCCGAGCTGGTGCTGCCACGTTGCTCCTTCACTGACGCTCATTTTCCGCTGTATCCACAGCAGCGCCCGGTCAGCTCGATCCGGTGACCTGTTGCCTCCGGTGGCTGAGCAATCATTTCTCCGCCCGCGCACGCATTTCGGAGCATTACAGAGGTGGGTTCCTCTGTAAGCGTTAGGACTCGAGGATCGGGAGACGTGTGACAGTGAAGAGGCGCTTTGTTTCGGTGTACATAAGTGCAAGTGGCCGGGAGTGGCATTCAGACGCGAGCGGGAGCCAGCAACAGTGCGATTCTTGACGGACTCTTCCTGTCGCGTCGCACGTTGATCTGAGCCCAAGCTTGGGACATGGTGTTGGTACTCGGCTGCTGGGGATACTTGCCTTCTGGACCATCTGAATCCCCGAACAAACCATATACTTGAATTTTCACATTAAAATTCTGTCACTAAGAATTCTATGCGCATTTGCATAATCTTCTCCTTCCAGTCACACGTCGTTCAATAGAATCTGGTTTCCAGTGAGAGTCATTTCTTGTGTGTACGTTTATGGATGCAATACTGACCTGGGTGCCACGTGGAAAAAAACCCTTGTTCTGCATCACAGGTATGAAATAAAATTTGACTTTGATGTTCAGACTCAAGATGTCCAAAGATTTGTATCTTTCATTTGCCAACCCCTCTTTGCTTATGCCATTATCTGTGAGTGCAATATTGCTTTTAGTTCAATTTGTCAACCTGAATGGCAGAAATCCTGCTCGTGTAGTTTCATTTTCATTTTCTTTCATTCTCCGGCATCGTTGATATTTCCGAACGTAAATATTAGATATGGGAAAGAAGAATTCATATCCAACCCTTGTTCTCCACACTTGGTGGGTCCATCCAAGCTTTTGGAACCTCTATATCTGGTGGATGAAAGTCACATACAAAACTGGAATCTCGAGATTTGGGAGCCGAAGAAATTCACGAGGGCACACATGTGAGAGGAGAAACCTAAAACGAGGTCAGGTGCAGAGAAGGATATCATTCAGGGTGCACGTCTTGCAGTTCCAGTCCATATAAATCCTGAACTTTTGCGCAGTCGGTTCGCAAGTAGATTTCCAATCATGAAGCCCTCAGATCTTTCGACTCCGCCAATCATCCCCGCCTAACAATAAGAGAGTTATGATACATACAGAAATTCGGGAACAGCGCCTGACAGGCGAAGGGCCCTCTTTTCAGAACAGCCATGAAGAAGTCTGGAGCAGTCACGCGAATCTTCCGCATCTGGTGCTGCTATATCCACAACTCCGACTAACATTGGCGGCTTATCTCGGCATCTCACTAACTGCTTGTCGGCGTCTTACATTGGCAGCGACTCGGATCCTCTCCGCCAACGAACGGTACTTTCCGTATACCGTATATCCAAAGCTCCACCAGATCGGTATCCCAAATCACAGCTCGACTCGTTGCCCCACCGTGGCAGATGCCTTTTAGCCTTTGGAATCTTCTCGTTTTATTCTGTTGACTACAGTAGGTGAGTCTTTGCATGCAGTAGTTTTATCAATGTGGTAGATTGAGCTTCTCTTCAACGCTGCAGTTAGGAAACGGTCGCCCTTTGCTGGTAGGTTCTTAAGTGGGAGTAACGTTTGCGTAGATCTTTTCATTGGTACATCGTTGCTTTCACTTATTGATATTGCTACTTGAACAATTTCGTGAATTTTGGTCGACAGTACAGGAATATTCTCATTTAAATTTTCCAAATTTGGAAGTAATGAGTGCCATTCATCTTGCATATGAATGTCACAATATTATCTAACTTTTCTAGTTGGAGTGACATTGTGATGTGATTGAAGTGTAATCCCATATGATAAATTGGTTAAATTCGATTCTCCTTGGTTTTAAATCTAATGTACTCTCATACTTCTTACTATATTAATATGAGTAAATTACTTGATGGTACCTCTGATACGCAACAAACTTGATTGGGACCCAACAGGTTGCATTTTAATCGATGGAATCCCATGAACGCCACCATAAGCAATGTTCTAATACAATTTGGGGTTCGTTTCGGATAAGAAGCTCGATGATTTTTGATATGCAGTTATGGTAAGATCATATCGGGAGTACTTTCCTATCATGATGCTCTGACGTTATACCATCGTGTCTCGGAAAGACGTTGCAAACAAAACGCCAAATTACTCTAACGGGAGAGAGTATTTTTGTATACACTTTCCACACTATATCCTACATGATCAGGTTATAAAAATCTTCTTTGAAACATGACTGACAGCGATTTGTATGGCCGTCGAATGAAATTCCATCGGGTAAAATGAAACCTTATAGTTTTTATCAAGTAATTTGAGTTTCCCAAGGATACATCAAATAACTATCTCATATTAATCTTCATTCTTGTTTGCAAATGAATTGCAATATTTGAGTTCATGAAGTTTAATTGATTATTTTTGAATTTTAATCTAAAATTTGAATTTTAGATTTATACATTATTGTAACATTAGGGTTTAGAATAAAATTTACTCAAATATGAAAACATAAACTATGATATCAACAATGGTTATATTTTCTCTCATATAACTTTTATCAACAAGCTCAAAGAGATAAAATTTCATACCCATCAATTTTAGTTACATTCGTCATGAAAGTAATTCACTATGAATGAATTGGTGACATGGCAGATATAACTCATGAGCACATGGATTGTTGACATGTCGTTACCAACTAACTCATTAATTAACACACTCAATTTTAACATAACAAGAACACGGGTTGTTGACGTGGTGTTGTAGATATTTCACTATTATCTACTTTATTCAATCTTGAACAATTTCAATTCTAATTAGAACTAACTAAAGATGATTATAAATATATTTGGATTTGAAATCAATTCATTTAACTTTTTTTTAAAAATAGTTCAATATTAATTTCAAAAAATTGATCAAATATTATAATCAATCATTATCATGTCTTGAAATTATATTTTAAATATTCTTGTAAAACTCCAAAACAAAATAATAAACAAACACAACAGCAATACATTTTTTAAAAATCACTATAAATAAAAATTTTGATTTTAAAAAATACGATTTGATTCATTTTTTAGGTACAAAATTATTAGTTTATTTTATATCAATGTTCTTATTGAAATAAAATTTATTATAAAAACATCCAAGTTCTAACAATTTTAATTTTTCAAATGTGTAAAGATATGATATGAATGCAAATCTCATCTTCTAGCATACATTATACTTACATCAAACTACACAATTCATCACATCAAAACATTTAAATACATGATATTAATTTAAATTTTAAAACATCTGGAGATATTTTCTTGTATTTTTAAGTCAAATTTATATGATGTTTCAAACATATATATATATATATATTGTAGTCACATTATTTTACACCCAATATCAAGTTTCATAATTTTTTTATTTAAACATTTTTTCATAAGATCTACAGGTTTTGATAACATTCATAAAATTTTAATGCAAACAAAATTTGATTAAATAATTGATTTGGATTAATATAATTATCCATATATATGTTGATATTTGCAATTGTAACGGCAATCTTAAATTTAAATATACTTGCTTTGAAATAGATAAAAATTTTATTTTTATAATCAATAAATAATCAATTATTTATAATTGTGACACATTTTAACACCTATATTTTAAATCAACATGATTTTATAATCAATTTATCCATAATTTCATAGTCCAAATCAAAAATTAAATTGCATATAGTTCTTGAAATTAACATTGATATAGTAGTTGCATAAAAAATCTAATATATGAAATTGTATTGAGCTTTTAAATAATTTGATCTAAGGTAATAACAATATATTAAATATAAGAATATTTGTTGTGATATATTTAATTTGAGGCATTGAAAAATTCATGTTTTATGAAATCTGGGCATTCAGCAAAAAAAATTAAAATTATTATTTACATAAAAATTTCAAAATTTTTATTTTCAATTCGATTAAAAAATTAATTAAAACATATAATTTGAATGATTTTTTTGAACTATTTTTATAGCTCATCTTGTATAAATTTTTTTTGAGTTTTTCAAGATTGAGTTATAAATGATAGACTTTTCAAATATTTATTTATTTTATTCATTATATTTTAATTAATTTTATTCTTAAGACTAATATCTCATATTTTAACTATTACTTCTTAATTTATACTAACAAAATTATAAGAAAATAGCTATAATTTCCATTGACAATTCAAGTTTTTTTGTGATTCCGTGGTATAATCTCAATTTTTTGAATTTTAGAATTTCCGTCTTTTGGAGTACAAAGGATGATAAGTTGTAGCTAGAGTCCCGTATAGCTTTTTTGACATGAAATTGTTAATTGGAGAAGAGTGAAGAGTAAAATTAGATATAAGTTTTGTATTTTTTTTGTTAGTTAATTTTTTTTGTTATGTTATTATTCAATTATTCAAATATTCAAATAGAGATTAATTTGCAAATACAAGACATTTGTATGTATAAAAAAATTATGGTTTTTTATTCAAATTTTCTTACACTAAGTATTAAGATTACATGATGTTAATAATGTTTGTAATTTGTTGCCTAGACTTCAAGTTAAATTTTATTTCAAATGAAACAGATGTCAAATTTAAAATGATTATTAATATTTAAAAGATCTCTGTAAATCATTCAAAAAATATAATTAAATGCAATTCAAATAAAAATATTCAAATTGAAATTTAATTTATTATAAAATTTCAATATTGATTATTAAATATTTTAACATCATATCGATTTGCACATGCAAGATACGTAAGATTGAAACTATACATGATCTTGTGTATAAGATATCATATATTTACATCATTTAATCGCATTGAAGTTTTTTAAGTTTTAATGTTCACTATTCAAATCTTATTTAAACAGTAGCACTCATCATATTATCAAGTATTACTTATAAATGAGTGAAATTATATTTCAAAATCATCCAATTCAATCTATATCTAATAGTCAACTCCAATACTCTGTTAATTTGGCATTTGTCAAATCTTTCATAACTCAGCTGATTATGACATCAGTCAATTTTTATTAATGACAAATATGATCATAAAGTTAAATGGCTTGAATTGTCTTGAATTGACTTCAATTTATTAAGTACAATTTGTACTCATTTTTTTCCTAGCTAATCATAGAAAATCACCCTCCATAGGTGTAAACCATTATATACTTTAGCAAAGACTCCAAAAAATGTACATAGTTTTGATAATCGAGATTCAAAGGTACTTCATGATTCAACGAATTTTGGCATTTGATCCAGTATTTTGCGGACTACATCTTTTCTTTGATAAGTAGTATATAATTCTTTATTATCTTGTTCCAAGGCATCAATGTACTTCAATGCAACACTTTTCAAGGTAAGATCAAAATCTAATGATGAGATACACAAAGCTTGATGCAAGCCTAGTCGCAAATTCTTAAAAAATACATGGGGATCAAGATGATGCTTATGTATTGTTGCCATACCTTCATGTCTTGATCACATGTATTCCTGCCATCGGATTAACGATTTAATTTTTAATAGAACAAACCACAACATTCTTCTCAAACAAGCTGTCAAATAACATCACAATAAAAGAACCACAAGCTTAAACAAAGTGCATAAGAACAGCCTTGGCAATCATGTAAAAATTGTTATATCACCAAATGCACTAATCTTGTTCCAGGATTTGCAATTTGAAAAGTGTCTTTTGCAATCCAGTCACGTCTTAAAGATAGTGGATGAATCCAAAAAAGGCAATTTTCTGTTGTGTTATTAGCAGTGTAGAATGCTCCACGATTTTGAAAAGAATGTAAATCTTTGCAACGATTGAAATCAGGAAAAATAAAACAATGCATCATATGACAATGAATTCCGAATCAAAATTCTTTTAGTTTATGTACTCAACAACATCACAATGATGATTTGAAAACCAAGGCAATAATTTTTAAAACCATAATTAGCAAGTCGTTTTGACCTTTGGACATTTTGATTGCATTTTGTTGATAAAATTCTACTATTTACACACATATTTGATGATGGGAGTTGACGTTGAGTAAACTTTTTTTTTGAAAAATATCAAATTAACGATTTGAAACACAAGTTTGAGTTGATGTGCGCCACATCAGAATCGAATCAAATAGCACCTTCTTGTTGAATTCAATTAGAAACACGAGTCATAATTCCATGTACTCCAACTGTCATATTTTGATCAACATCAAAACATATTGATAAAAGTGTATATTCCTAAGACATACAAAATGCAACCATAGACTTCTTGAAACTTTAAAATAAGTTGTCTGGGATGAGACATTTGTAAAGAGGAAGCCAACATAAATTGAACAATACAGCTTGGTGTCCATGTCAAATTTCACTCGAACGTTCAAAATATAATATGCTGTCAACTGTTGGTGAATCAAATGCAACAAAAAAGCTTCATCAACCAATTGTTATTTTGCTAAGTTTTTGAAGTCAAACGGCAATAACAAATGGAACAAACAATGATACTTTTGATTCATTGCATCCCTTAATAAAACAGAGAATTCAATTTTTTGAGTGCACACTTCAGTTTACAAGCTATTAACCTAAACGACGAGCCAAAATCAACCATATCAATAACAAGCTTGAAAAGCTTAATGTTCTTGATATGAATTTGATAACATACAACCACATTGTCGGATTTGATTGGCTCAAAGAATCTCAACGTCCGATCAATGAAAATATCCTCAATTTTGGAATCAAATAGAAATATGCATAGAATTGCGTGAACAATTTGTACGTTGATATCAAAATACAGTTGATCACCATCTCCAACCAAATGAACATAAAAAGTATTCACGAAAGCAATAACATCAAAGAAAGTTTGCTTGACATATACTGACAAAACATGATACTCACTTCACTTCGTCAAGTGTCGGCTTTTGAAATAATGTGAGTACATCTCTAGTCAATTTTGAAGTACTTTGTGGTTCTAGTCTACTTGCGCTTTTGCTTGATATTTTCTTCACGGTCTCATAAATGGCAAAAGCAACACAAAATTGATGTAACGACACTAGACAATGGTTCATGCGTCAAGAACTTCAGCCCATACTCAAGTTCATGAGCGAAATTAAATGATGTTTAGCGCTTTTATGACAATTTTTCATCAACAACAAGTATTCAACAACAGAAAAAGACCAAACAATAAAAACCATAATAAAAACCTTTCAACAACGGATTCGTTGTTTCAATCTTATTTATGCCTTCATGCAAAAATCATTTATGACAAATCTGGCACGAGCGTCATCCAATGCCATACTTGAAGAATCCTGGTCATCACAAATTTAAAATCACATGTAAAATTTAAACTTTTAATATTTAATTTGTCTTTTTTTTCTTTAAAAAAAATAAGAATTATTTTATATGTAATTTATGGTCTTTGCAATGTAGTTAATTGTATTTATAAATGACATATTTTTAGTAATTTTATTTTAGCATGCAAATCAATAAAAAAACAAGAATTTTAATTCAAAGAATTGAAATTCTTTAAAAGAGTAAGATTTGATGACAACATGAAGTGGTATGATTGCAATCTTGTTTGTAGAATTTATTGATATACAAAGATTCTTATTACTTTAATACATAATCTCAATCTCAAATTTATATACACCTTATAATTTTAGATGATATGAAATTTATAATGTTTTGTGTTTAGGTTGGGTTTAAAAATTGACACTCATCTCATCCAGATGTAGTATCTTACGATTTTGATCACATACAATTGAAAAAATCACAAAAACTTTATTTGGATAATTTGAAAACTTGATTAAACTTTGATTTGACAAGAATATATTAAGTGGAGTAAAAATAGTGTTCAAGGTTGTATTTATACTTATCTTTGAGTTTCTTTATTGGCTATCATGCATTCTGATCTGGAATTCTCTTGTTGGTTTATTTATAAAAAAAGCAAAAAAAAACCCTGAAGTACACCATCTTTAAATATTTGGAAGAAGTAAGTTATTAAGATAGTCTGGGATATTTTGTAGATTCATATTCATAAGATGTTTCACAAACCAAATTCAGAAATGTAGAATTAATCTGTTATATATTTTTAGATAATCGGGGTGATTCTCACATCTTGCTAATTTGTTTTTCCCACCGTTCCTGACACTTTTCTACTTTTCCCCGCGCCGTGGCGATCATCGCGTGTAGTAGACTTGCCGCAGTGCAACAATAGGACTACCATCTTGTAACCGGACCGCTTGGGGGAAGCACAAATCATCAGAATCAGAAACCGTGGGAAATTCTATTTGTTGGAAAAATAACTTTTAAGTTGTTAGCCAAATTAGACTAAACGCATAGTAAATTATCTGAATTCTTTTGAGCAGGATAGTATATCGTTCAGCCTTCAAATCAGAAAATATAGATCTGAGTGTCAAGCCTGCAATCCATCTTCTGTTTACTAGGCCCATATTTTGTATTCCACGTCATTGCTCCATTGTGCGAATCAAAAAAATCTACAGAGCCAAGGGCGCCACATTCTTATCTGACTGATGTATCAAGATAAGTGAAAGCACTCAGATTGAGAAGCTGTAGCATCTCTACAGCTGTAAACCGGGAACGCTATATTATATTAAACAAGAATTGTCCTATCGAGTCATAAAGCCATCTTACACGGGGGATTTCAAATACAGACTTAGTCCATTAGGCTCATTGATGAGGGATAATATTATCAAAACATTAAATGAAGCCTTCAGAATCCAAAAGCTACATAAATGATGAGATGTGATAGTCTCAACTTACTGAAATGAAAGCTGAACAGGACATTGATTTTCGGCATCAATCAAGGAGCTGCATATGCACATAGTCTTGAACATACGCTTTCGAATCTGACTTAACTCAATCACTCAACAGGTACCCACAAACGGTACTTAACGGGGTGTCTCACATAAGTCCGAGCGAACAAATGCATACAAGTGAATAGACAAATGCAAGTGAATACACACAGATTTTCTCTTCTGTACCACATGGTATTCTAACCATTTCCTACGACAGTAACTCACGTTGACTCTACGAGAAGGATAAGGTTTATTAACCAGGACCATTGCATGTCACAAACGGTCGAGTAGTTTACAATTTCGATCCATGCAGATTCCATGCTTTACATGCAAAAGCGAAGTTGGGCCATCAGAGACATGTGCTGGTTCAGCATATTGGTTTGCGGCTGCATATGTGCTGTATCGCACATCAAAAAGTGCGGGTAGGATCGTCAAGTTTGGAACCTATTCATTAGAACATTCCATTGAATCTCTTCATCTCCATAATTCCTGCTTGGACTTTTCATCCAGAAGATTCTAGGGACGACTCTGAGAGCAGCGATAAGCTCTCTCGCAATCTTCGGAGGGGCACCTGTGCTTACTTTGGAGTACGGTGCTTATCCGAATTTTATATGCGAAACTATTTCTGAGTTCTTGCTGAGTTATGTGAGTCCATCGAATCTGCAGTTCATACTAGCAATCACTACTTTCCTGACAATCCACTCGTAAGAACGAATGGACTCGCTTACTGTGTATCCCATCGACTGCACTCAGTCGATGCATTCCCATCGACTGAAGTTCAAGTCAGATGCGCCATCTTAAACTCAATCACGATGTGCAGGTCGTCGAAAAATCTAGTGAACACTCACTTTAGCAGATAGAACCCTTCTTACAGAATTGCTGGATCCGGAGGACTCAAAAAGGATCAGGCCAACGTCCCTCGGGAGACCAATTGATTCCAATCATCAACGTCAGATCGACCAGATCTCTAAGTCAGAATTCTCTACACGCACTATGAACTCAGAGTGTTTCTTCTAGAACAATCTCGTGTAGAGCACTCTAAACGCAAGTCTACGGGAGATACACGAAAGACAGCAAAACACGTAGACGTTAGAACAAATATATGTCAGATCAGAATGAGCTCGGAACATTAAAAAGAGTTCACATGAAAAACATGTGATTTTCGATTGACAATTGATAAGCTATTCACGTCCAAAAGCTTTTGGAAAACAAGTTGGTGTCCTACATTAACTGGAACAGATCAAATCCTGTCTAAGAGGGAACAATCAGAGGAAACAAAGAACATGTGTTCTGGCCATATGTATGAGTGATGCCATGCCACTGGGAAGAAGTTATTCATACATGTGCAGCGTCAGCACTCCAGCTATCATGCACCCAGATCAAAACTACAATCGTCTAAACACCTTCTTCCCCGAGGCCATATGGTTCTGCCACTACAACTAACTGCAATTTATGAGCAAGGAAATGCTGCACATGATTCAAACGACCAGCTTCCACGTATCTGAGTAGATACGAAGGAGCTGCTGCGCATGCCTCGAGAATTCTGAGTGTGGGACTTTTATCTGTGAGAATATTGTTCAGAAACTTAGTGTCCAATAGAATAAGAGGGGCAGCAACAACTACCAAGCGCAGCTCCTGGTCAGCCACAAAGTCAGCACGCCCACGAACGTTACACCAGCAAAGGAGGGAATCGAGAGCCTGGCCGGAGCTGCTCCAGGCGATGGGGCCGGAGCAGGAGGGCTTGCAGCCGGGTCGAGGTCTTGTGCAACGACGAAGCTCGTATGCGAGGCCAGTGTCATGGCCAGAGTCACGGCTAAAAGAAACACCAGCCTAAACGACATCGATGTTGATGCCATTGTGTTTCGTCCTCTGCCTCTTCCCTCCCTTACTCCCTGACTGCACCGCAGCTTCTGCACCCGAGAAATGTGAGGCAGCGGACCGGTCCGAAGTTTCAGATCGCCCTCGACGTACACTGTCACAGAGTCAGCACCAATGAAACGAAACCTGCTGCTCCTCGAGCTTCCTTCCGGACCTCTGGCTCCGACTGCTGATACTCAGGCAACGCGTCCAGTCCAGAGCAGAATTCCCTCTAGCTCCTCGGTTGTAGAGTATTGACAGTCCGAGCTGCTGCAGGGGGGTGTATGTATGCGCAGCAGTCTCTCAGCAGCGCAATTCCAGGACACGAGCAGCTGCTGCAGCTTCTGCTGATGCTGCTCCCGGAGCGATACTTGTCGCAACTTTTTGCTTTGGAGACATTCGCAAATGGAATTCAGACAGCAGACTCACTCGCCCCCATGTGGGTCCTTGCACGGCCGGTCCAGCTTGCATTTGCTTTTTTGCACGAGTCCGAAATTACCCCTGCTCTCAGAGTCTCGCGCAAAACAGTCGACCGACCATGCGGGAGCTTTGGGGCTTAGCTTCACCACTCTGCTCTCCCCCTCCATGCAGTCAGCGGCTCCCCGCGGCGTCAAAACCACGCCATGCCTACTCTCTGAGCACCTGTCCGTCCATCGTCCTCCAACTTTTTTTATCTTCTACCCGGGGGTTCGTTCCGTGGTAGCTCCATCCGTCCGTCTACTCTTCTCGACTTCGGTGCCCGCCTTCCTGAATTATTAAACAATTTCTTTCTGCAAATATTCCAGAATATCTGCGCCAGAAAGAATCTCCGTCGTGAGAACATTCTAATTTGACTCCCTTCCTTGTGCTGCACAACTGGAAATATGATTCCTTGCGTTTAGTTTGGTGTCCACCCCGACCAGCCTGAGGTCAACCACGTAGGTCGTTCTCGTCCTCTTCGATTGGGCGATTCATGGTGTGGGATGTGAAGGTGAAGGTGAAGAGCATGTGTCGTTTCTCCTCCGGCTCGTAGACAGAGGAGGTATAGTAAAACAATCGATACGGCCTACGTGTGCATTACGAGGATGTCGACTTCGAAAGGCTGCTCTTGACGAGCGTAAAGAGGGAGAAAGGATGTGTGAGTTGTAAGCTCTGAGATGAACGCTTGGCTCCCAAGACAAAGAATACACTGGAATATTTGACCACAGATTACGTGCGCAGATTGATTGAGGATGTGAGGTTTTAGAAGATATAGTAGGTGGGGTCTTGTAGCCTGAGAAATTGCTGAGAAGAGGCCAGAAGGCTTTTCTTTTTCAGTGCCCAACAGATGACACCGGCTCACGGATGAACCTGTAGAGCTTCAGGTCTCGGTTGATTACATCCCCCTGCGGCATCTTCATCATAAGTCGCCAAGTCTTGGGGTTCCCAATTTTGAGGACACGAGGGCACGGACTGGTGTGACTAGTGCAGGACAGTGACTTTCGTCGAGTGCACCACAGCCCCTTCAGCACCTATGAAGATGCTTATGCTACCATCACACCTTGTGGTGCTCGCCTTTCTTTCATAAGTATGTCATGCCATGGAGTTACGTTTTACCGAAGTGGGTACAGTACGTGAATGTTCAACGAAAGCAGTGAAGAGGAGGTCATGATGGATAAATTGTGAGGAAGCTTGAAATTGCCATGGGAGACGGGTAGGAATGGAAGCAAGTCACTTCGGTAGACAACTGGAATCCACCTCCATTTCGCCAGTCGTCGAGATTGTAATCTGATGTGAAAGATATTTATACTTGGGAAAAAGGAGATGCACATGGAGTAACAATCACCGTGAAAAATAATTGACACCATCGCAAAGCAGAAGCCAACAAAGTCATCAGGAATCCCGGCTCTTGGGGCAAAAGAACGTAGAGAGCTATCCTCTTTGTTGAGAAGTTTCCATCTCTCCAACTCGCGCCTCTAATGTCGCCTACACGTCATGAGAACGCCTGGTAACAGTGATCAGAATTGGCATCACCAATACAGACCTCTGCATGCAACTCTCGTCTTATCTCTTGTGATCAATCACTCTCCACTGTCGCCAAAGACTGATGTATTGGATTATTCAGTTAGGAAATGATTTGGGCTGAACCTGGAAATGTTGCGCGTGTCCAGGAGTTTAGACATGCACCTACACAACATTGGAGCAATTTGCTCAACTGATGAGAGAGTCAAACCATGTTGTAGGATGCAGCTGCAACATGTCCATCTATTTCCTCCATAGTTCTCAACTAATCGTGTCCTGAGTGCTGCGACCGTCTATGTGTTTCTAAGCTCTCAATGAAAAAGTTATAGCCGACTTGCGTCCTATACATTAACTTGATATTTATCCATCCTTTGAATGTCAGCTCAAGCATTAATTTTTCTCTATTCTTTCGAAATCGAGTGGAAGGAAACAAACCTTACCAGACCTCGTGGAAGACCGTGAAAAAGAAGTACGACCTTATACGTACAACTTCCGGGTTGCACTTAGCTCTGATCATGCAATCATCCCCCATATCATTGTGTGATACATTGTGCTGTAGCTGTCAGTCAACGAGAAATGATACGCAGGGCCTATCATTTGTCAGGGCCATTCTGTTGTATACCGAGTCTTGTTCTTCGACGATTCAACGCAGCTTGCTATCATAGCTGCTTTGTGGGGGCTTTGAAAGCTTTGAATGTGATTCGGGGTTCTTCGAAAATGCATGGGACGATGTGGATGTGATGTTGTAATGCATTTGACTTGCATAGAGACTTAAATTCTTCGTGCGTGTCTTATGCTATATGAAACTCTGATCGTTGATCTCGATATCTAATTTGTATGAGAATGCTCTTTCAACTCTTCTTAGATTTGTCTAATGAAGTAATTTTCATATTGCGAGGATTGCTAAAGCATATGTAGAGACCAAAGACAAAACTTATAGCACGCCCGGAAATACATGTGGTTGAGGCAAATTCCATTTGATTCGCTCGGAATATTCCAATGGTTCAGAGCCGCCTGACGCGAAGATGAGGCAAAGCAACGAATGTTTGTTTTCAACAGTAAAAGCTTAACACTCAGAACTAAGACGTTCTCCTCTACTACAAAGCCAAGAAGACCTTCACTGTCTATGGCATGAATATCACCTTGCGGTAAATGATTGTCTGGAAACCTTGACTAGACCACGATGAATGGAGACAATGTTGGTTTTATTCTGTTTGTCCTTTCGAAACTGTTCCTAATTTGCAGAAAAGGCCAAGTGCAGAAGAGTCTACATGTTTTAGATCAAACAAGAGCATTCAGTGAGCCTTGGAATGATTAAAGTCTCTTTGTAAGGCTTTGGACATGATGTTTCTAATGCTGTTGAGAGCGTGAAGAAAATTAGCGTATTCCAATCAAAGCTTGATTTGGCTCCGGCATGTCATTCATAGGTATGGTTTTAGTGTAGAGTGTAAAGATAGAAAGTGAAAAGAAAGCTCTTGAGAAGATGCTAAGAATGAGACTTTAAGCGCAATGAACCCATCTATAAACGAGATGCATTTTTTTCTGCCTCATATATCTAACACAAGAGCAATTAATTTTTCAAGTGTTTGGTCTGAAAGCAATGTTTGATATCACCTTGATGTTTCCCACGCTGCAATTAAAGCATATAAGGTAGGATTTCAGTCTTATATTAAGAGACACGTATAAAGTTATCAAAATTGACACCAAAAATCAAAATTCCCTAAACTTGGAAATTATGAGAAGTTTAGGATCGCAAGACAAATGAGTCACTGTTGGTTTTTGTAATCTAACCGAGGACGAAAAGGATTTGGTTCAAGCACATTTATATATGGAGAGTACTGTCTATGAGAAAGCCACGGAGCTATGGCATACCTTGTCCTCCAAAGTTGGAACAGTCTCACCTTCCGGCTTGAAAGAAATGGCTAGGTGAGGCATCATAAAATTCTAGGATTTTGTCACAAAATCCCAAAATAAAATTAAAAAAAACCTTCGCGGCATGAAAGGATGCCGTCCTTTATTTGTGGAAACTGTCCGTAAATGAAATTGGCTAGTACTTTCGTGTTTAAGTCATGTAATATGCAAAAAAATATATGTAGAAGCTCAAATTTGTGGGTATGATAATGTCACGAGTTTTAAAATACATGGGACAATTTGATTATCTACAAGATTTATGTGGAGAGTTTACTGTTGCATTTGCCAACATTAATTATCTGGAATCTGACTTTTCCGGCACATGATCGATCACGTCACATGACGAACTTGTCAAATGAGTGGAAGGTATATTCGAGAGGAAGCACAACGAGCAATTAAGTTCCATCCATTTGCGTTTGAAGTCTTTCTCCGAATAAATCTCAAAATAAATATGAGGAGCGTCCACAAATTAAGTTACATTGTAGAATTTTGGAAATTCCAAGGCTTTATGAGGTCTGCGTTAGGTTGTTGTTTGGAATATGTGTGTAGCCAAAAGACTCAGACCCCTAGTTCGAAGCATTATACATGTATCCAATTACCAAAATGAGAACTTAAGATCCATGACATTATAAAGACCCTAAACAATATCAGTTCACCTAATATCAAATCGGGACAAAGAGTCTAATCAAGATATGAAAGACAAAGGAGGTTCTAAGATCCATGATTTGATCTAAAACTCATTGACTCAACCAAAGATCTGATTGGGCATATAACTAGATCTAGGGGTAAATTCGCACATAGACTTTTGAACAGTAGAGAATCTACTTTCCAAGTTAGCAGGTGATATACTCATATTGGGGTTGTCACAAAAGGGAAATGACCGTGGATCAAGAGCTAGACATAATCAACGGTTAGCATAATCTAACGAGATATGATTTATATTTCTAGTCATCAAGTGAATGTTTTTTAACTTGAGCATTATTCAATATCCATGTTGATATAAAATTCCAATACAACGAAAATTTGTGATGTGTAGCACTGTAACAAGACCAATAATAGTAGCAGATGGCCTAATCTGGTAGATGATATTTTCCATGTTAAAGATTCCGTTTCCTCATTTAATAGTATGAATAAATTTCTTTGCTTTTGAGATTAAAATTAAGCAAAGGAAGTCATGATGTTTTGAGGAGGTTTCATGATCAATCAACACACAATCACATAAAATTCACAATCTTTAAAAAATCTAATAGCTTAGTCAAATTAAAGTGTAATTTTAAGCATGGAGTAATATGAAGATTAGACGTAGACGTTAATACGATGAGAGAAAGTAGAGAATTCACAACAGTATGTTGAATTTGACATAACTCTCGTAGTCGATAATACGTTGAGAGAATGTAGTAAAATTTACAATTCTAGGTTGAGTGTGATATCTTCTCGTGATTTATGGTTGGAACCTTGGTTCATTGTTCTGTAGCGAATAATAGCCAACAGTGATATGCTTTTTCGGATGTTTTAATTGTTTGTAGACTCTTAAACTTGGATAGTGTAGATATCTTAGTTGGCAAATAGGTGATGCTATGGGGCCTAACCACCATCACACTCTTAATTTCATTCCCTGACGGCTCGATGGGGTCATCCCATCCTTTTTGCTATTAGTTGGTCCCACTATCTCAGATCGTGATCGGATGATTCTCAATAATGGACTCTGTAACCTCGTCCACTTTGGGTTGGGTTTCTCTATTCTCCGAACGAGAGATAGAAAAATTTCAATGAACAATTTACATTTCCGCATGCCAGAATGTTGTTCCCACTGAAAAGAAGAACGTGCTTTGATATTCTGGCTTCCTTCTGAAAGTTAATTCAGAACACATATTATCATTTTAATATTATCTGAAGAAAACTGTGGTGGAATAGCGAGGCTTAGTATGCAACTTAGTTTGAAAAGAACCAGACCGTCGAAGAAGTACACCAAGTAAGAGAGCAACAAGGATGGCACCACACCGTCCTACAGTAAGTCGTCAACATCTACTGTGGTAGGAGTCTACTGGATGTCTTCCTGAACTATGCAAGTGTATACTACTGGCTCTTGTGTACTGTGTTGTGGAGAAATGCCAACTGTGACTGCGCCGCCTGTCTTGGTCGTCGCCTCAATAGAAACGAGAACTTCGTGGTGATCGTGGTGACGGCAGTCCTGACGGTAGGCTTCGCGGTCTTCGAAAGAGGCGAGGAAGGTTGACTTGAACAGGACGGGAATCTCTCTCCTCCTCGGGCGACACATTTTGGACGAAATTGGGCAATCAATTGGGGACCTTGCGATCCAGGCGAGGATTTTCTGGACCAGATTGTCCATGATTTTCCGTCCGAGGAGTTGGGAAATGGGAAAGGAGGGATGACGAGCGAGGCAGTGCGGCAGCAATGGCCGAGGCCGAGAAGATCGCTATCGAAACAGGGCCCGAGCATTCGGCAGGATCCCATGGCCGGGCCCTTCTATGTCCTTATGAATTTGAGGATCCAGCTTTCCGTCGAGCTGGGCGGTTGCCCAATCTGGTGAGAATCTTTCTCTGATGTGGATCTTGGGGTTTGTTTTTGTGTTCCTTTATTCGTCCGCTCTGCCAATTTTCAATCCTACTGCAGTTTCCGTTTGTTAATCAGGTTAGAAGTCCAGAGCTCTCTGCTTGCACAATTCGCTGTCGGGAGTTGTTTGCTTCTAACCTCTTGGTTATGTTATGTACCCTTCCAAGAGTGATCTCTCTATATCATCGTAGGTGGATGATTATCGCATTGTCCATCGTCATTTGGATCGCGTTTTTGAATCGATGCTAGAATGTGCGTGGTGCTCGGTGTTCTCTACTTCAGAGTTGTAAGGAGTCCTTCTAGTTCACAAGCTTAGAAGGACGTTTGTACCAGACTGTGTGAAATCGTTCTATGTTTTTTGTCCAATTTGGTCCTGTGCAGAGGTATGGGGACCAAGTGAGGGCAGTGTGGGTAACTCGGTACGATTTTGAAAGCGATGTCGATATCATCAATATTATGCAGCGTTCAGCTCAATCAGGTTTCAACACTGTTTTCTTTCAGGTTCGTGATTGGACGTGCCTCACTAGCTGGCGAATTTTGTCCTTTTAAATTATCTTCCATGGAGTGATATTCTTGGACTCAAAAGCTCTTTGTAACTTGGACTGGATTGTAAAACTTCTGTGATTAGCCTCCAGATATCATTTGTTGAAAAGTCCAGCAGACTGAAATATTGGAATCAAAGTCCACGGGAACCTACAGTATTATGGGACACGTACGGTTTCAAAGATGAGCTTCCAACGATAACATAACACAAGTGCATTTTATTGGCGTGTAAAAGGCTTTGACCTCAGCAGAAGTAAAATTCATCAAAGTTTCATTGGTCACTGAAAGCCAGGAACTCAGAAAAGGGAATTCATATGAAAGTAATCAGCAACGCTCAAAGAATGACTCAATGTACTGGAAAGACTCAGTAAGACGATATTCGGTATTAGGCAGCGGAAAGAGCAATGGATGCCTAATCTGAATTTTCTCTCTACCACAATACAGTTTCCTACTCGAACGAAAACCTGTTATGAATCGAGCAAACAAGTGGGCTAATATATTGACAAATGTCTAGCTTTCTCATTGAAATAGAGATTTATACTTGGATTCAATATTTCTACATAATTTTCTCTCATCGACAACTCGTATTGAGCTGTTATCGATAAGAAGAAATCGTAACATAACAATGAGGCAAGTGAATATCTAATGTTACTGTACGAGATATTACTTGCCTGATATAGCTTCAGGACCGTAGATACCGAACCTGTAGGGCGGTGCTAATCTGCTAAAGTATATCAGCTGATTAGCAAAGAATACTGTTTATATTAATTTTGTATCCGAGCTCTAATGCCTGATTGGCGACTCTTTGGCATGTCAATAAGAATGATCTTTCTCATGGCCGGGTTGGCTCTTCATTCCATGTACTGCTTTTATCTCGACTGTAATTTATTCTTGATTATCTGAACACGTTTGTTTTTCCAGGTCAGAGGCAATGCAACTACATACTATCGATCCAAATTGGAACCGTGGTCGGAGACTTTTGAGTGGCAAAGCCCAGGGTATGATCCTCTCTCGCTGGCGATACAAGAAGCCCATGCACGCAACATGTCTTTGCACGCCTGGATCAACGGTATGAATCGTTCTGCCTAAGACGACAAATTTGTACTGCAAGCACATGCAGTGACCATTTTGCTGCTCTGAAATGTAAGCCCGAGTTTGACTAATGTTACGTACACAGTAATGCCAATGTGGAGAGGATCATCACCGCCAACTAACAAAGACCACATGTACTGGTCTCACCCCGAGTGGAGCTGGTATGACAAACATGGTGAACGCCAGGTAAGGTGGCACCTGGTTTTTTAGTTTTCATCTGGTCTTTGTTTATAACTAGGTTCTTATTGATCACTCTTGAGTTGCTTTCGGCCTAAAGATATGTCAGCTTATACGACTGTGCAAATCTTGTTTGGACCTTTTTGGATTTCAAGTCTTTCATATAGAACACGCAAAGAAGTCAAGAATTCTTTGGTTTTAGCAGTGTGGTAATTCACCATGGTGTGATGTCGCACATGACAGCCGTTGAATAGGGGCTTCTATGTTAGTTTAAACCCCTGCTTACCTGAGGCGAGGAATCACATTGTCAAAGTCTGTCGGGAGATCGTTGCCTGCTACGAAGTTGATGGACTTCACCTGGACTACATACGATTTCCTAATGAACCACCTGTTGTGAATGGCCAAGCGTACCCTCACGACAAGGTGCGGAAACTTGAAGTTTACTCAGGTATATCATGCTGTTATGCTGCTAGTGGCGAGATGAAAACTAATCCAGATTCAGTTATCACGTGTGTAGTTCTTGCTGTGTTCGCATGCTGACAAGATTGTGAGAACTTATTAGTGTTCCAGGGGTTGTACTCTTCTGTTCGCGTTTCGCAATATGTGCATTTATAATGTCGTGTATTGTCGTTCTATCTTTTCGGTACATTTGAGACTCTTATACATCCAGCAGTTGTGCACGGCAGAGAACCCTTGAACTTTTTCAATCCAATACTGGTTTTACCGTCGAAGAGAGGCCAAATCTTTGGGACCAGTGGCGATCGGACTGTGTAACAGCTCTAGTGCGTGACGTTTGTCGTACGGCAAAGTCAATTCGTCCACAAATCGTCTTGACTGCTGCTGTCGGCGCTGAGCGACTGAACGCTCTCAGCCATTTTCAAGTATGAAACTGTCACGTCTCTAAACTTGCCATACACTGTCGTTTGCATATCGTTTCACGGGGCTCACGTTCGTGCCATTCCAGCGTGCATGGTTAAAATGTGATTTCAATCACTTGCATAGCAGTAGTAATAGGAGTAAATCTTGCTGTGGATTAGTCAGAGTTCTACATGTGTCGTAATATCTATATTGTTTCGCATGTCAGATGCTGCACGGGTCGTCTGACATGAACATGTTTCATCTTCTTCCAGGATGTCGAAACGTGGTGGAAAGAGAGACTACTTGATGCAGTCGTCCCCATGAACTACACTGGCTGCCACAGGACTTTTCGTCGGCGTGTAGAACGAGAGTGGCTGGTTAAAACCAAAGAGCATCTTATTCTTCCTATCACTAGAATGTTTTTCAGGTCGGTTTTACTATCTCACTTGTCTTCCAGATTGTGTTTTCTACAATTTTTGACAATGACTTGATATTTTGATTCCCAGATTCTGCCTCGGCTCGTACTGATGTAGGGTCATCGTTGACATTTATGGTCTGCAGACAAGAATTTTGGCCTGATAACCATAAGAGACACGGCCCAGCGCAGCTGGTCAGTGATGACTCAAGAGTCGGATGGTCTCGTCCTCCGGAGCCCGCAATAGTGATGGGCACGAGTGTTGAGTTTGGTGACAGTAGACTTCTTCAAAAGCAACTGGCTTTAGCTCTACAGCGATTTGGCCATTTCTCTGTCTTTTCGTACGCAAGTTTATTTGATCAGGTAGTTTCTCTGAACTCTTTTTCCTTGTTACATCATCTTTAGGTAGAGATGACCGAGTCAACCTTCAGTATAGGGGTGAACTCTGTGCCTTAGTGGTTTGACATGATTTTACTCCTTCGTTGAAAAACAATCTCTACAATCTTTACAGTAATTCCTTTTTTGTGTGCAGAGAACTGATGGGGAAAGATTGCAACCTTTGCTTGTGTTTCTACGGATTCTCGCCGATGCGTCAGAGATCTCTGTACGAAATTTGGGTATACCAATCGTACATCCTTTCAGAGATAGAAACACACATGCACATCCAGAAGAGGCAGGTCCATACGACCAGATTCAGATATCTCAACAGTTTGGATTCAATGCTCCAGTTGTAGCCCTTCAGCCTGCTGTATTAATTTGGAGAAGTCGGAGAAAAGGAAAGCGTTTTAACACAGGCGAGGATGGGAACAAAAAAATTTCTTACCGGAGAACAGGCCGCAGAAGACTTCTTGTTAAGGATAGAAATAGAAGAGGCATGAGTGAAGAGAAACATGATTCATATGAGTCTAATCTAAATAGTTTACTAGAAAGAGGAACTGAGTCGGAGGAGAGTAATGGTCTACTGGTGGCGAACAACTGGGAAGTTGTCAGAATGTCAGAGGCAACAATGAGAGAAGAAGAAGAGAATAATCCTTTTACTGCCGGACACGGACTGATGAAGGACCTCCGAGGAGGATCTTCTTTCAGAAGAAGCGAGGCTGGGATGTTTGCCCCACCTGTCAGTCCACTATGCACGGTCTCAGCTTCCCATATATTATCGCATTCATGTAAGTTCCACTTGGAGGGCCCCGTCACAGATTTGTCCACAAAAGCAGGAATAGTGCTCAAGAATATCGGGAAAGCAGTTTGGAGCAGGTTGGAACGAAGCAAACTGTAAGCCTGCAGAAGTGGCGGAAGCCTATTTGCCTTGAGTATGATCCTAAATAAGTATGAAACTAGCAAGGAAATAATTGATACGTCAGTAGGTTCGAGTGTACAGCAAAGTTGTCATCTTTTGTCCCCTTTGGAGGGTCAACACGAACATTCAAACGCACGTCTTAATTAACAAATTTTGCTTTCACTATGCTAGAAGAAATTGTTAAAGACGCGAATTACCATGTCATCTATTGTACTCCAGCAACTGGCTGCTTCCAAGGAGGCTTGGCTTTTATCACGGCAGTTTCTAAAAGACCTGAACCTTTCTCGGTAATCCATTTGGACGAGCTGAATTTGATTAAAGAGGAACAATTTGGATCTCACAACCCTTCACAGCCAAGCTAAAATGCCAGGAAAGCAGGGAGAAAACTTGGATCGACCAATCTTGAAACTTTGAAGAGCATTTTCCGATAAATCTTTGAGCCATTGTGCATGGATAATGCCGCACGGGCACAATCCCTACACGTCAAGGGACGTATCAATTGCTTAATATTTAGAACGTGAAGAGCGTATGCAGTTCTCTTGAGAAAGTATATAAATGGTCGTATCCAGAATAGCTCAGTTGGAAAACTGTGATCGAAATAAACAATCTTTCACATTCTTGTCATGCGAAAATGGGGTGAAAATACGCACATTGAAGCTGATCAGCTTCGTTTCAAGGTCCGAAAGGTAATGTGCCCATCTCAGTGTCGGCTCGTTCCGACCAGTACACACGTGCCCTCCGGGCGTGAAGAACATGTTTATTCGCTCTTTTGGCTTATATCCTTTTGTGAGGCAGAGGAGTATTCTCGTCAGTACAGCCCCAATGGTTACATAATACCTCGTTTCCTTTTTCTTCACATGTTTTATTGAGGCATGCTGCCATCAACTAAAGTATGGCAAGCGGCGGCGAATGATTTTCTCGTTCTCGATGAAATATGTCCACTACCGTCTGAAGCATCTTGACGTCACGCCGAAGCAATTGCCAAGTACAGGCGAGGCCAAATGCATTTTGAAGTATTTCAGACGGCGCAGGGTGACATCGCGGATAGATACGAATTTCAGTCGGTTCGTCTCGTCTGTTCCTAAACTTGAGAGAAAAGCTTTTGGCCCGTGATGTCCGTCAGTCTAAGCATGTGAGCCAAACAGGCCGGCACAAGACATACTTCTCTCGTTCCCACAACACGAATCATAATCATTATTCACGACACGGCTAGCTTAATTTTAAATTAAGCTAGCCGGATGTTAGTTCTTGCCTTGCCTCCAGGCCTCAATATTTTTAAGTCTAAAGTCGACACGAGCTGGAGACTTACTTTTTCACGGCCAACGCTTACCAACGAGAAGTATGACACGAGAGTAAATTGAGTACAGTATGTGGCAAGCGAAAGCCCTGGTCGAAAACAGGACGACGAAACTGGGTTATGGGGATGGTGCATCATTATTCTGTGGTTTATGACTAGATTCAGTGATTGGGCGATAAACAGGCCTCTCTATATAGGAAACTTTCCCGTATGTTCCGTATTTCATCAAAATAAGGATTATCATCAAAACAAATACGGAACGTAAGTACTTTAATACAAAACTCTCTTGTTTTCTTCAAAAATGTTTGATTTTGAGTGTTTTATTTATATGTGAAGATACTTTTTACATTTAAAATCGCTTTCTAAGGTGGCAATGTACATGTACATGTTAATATTACAAAGAACTCCATGAATAAACTTAATGATTGGACTATTCAGACATTCTAATCTTCACTAAAATCAGATAAGATTTGTCTGTCGAACTATTTAAGGTATGGCAAAGTCGGTGTTCATGGTGCACAAAGACCAAAAGTTGATTGTGTTCATACATTATTTGATCAATGTAATTTTGTTGCAAAGAAACTTCCAAACGATCTCGATATTTCAGAACTAACTCTTGTTGTTTTCAAAGCTGCAAATTCATGAGATAAAATGTTAGAACTCAGCCTGGTTGAACTTAGATCTTGGTTAGGTTGCAAAGTGCTTCTAAAACATGCAGAACTTCAAGCCATACCAACCAATGATCTAGAATGTTGAACTTTTATCACTTTCTAGGTATGTCACGTAGAAGAAGAAAAACATTTATTTTTCAAAATAATGAACTTCTTGAAAACGAAATACGGAACTCCATTGCGGGAGTTCCGTATTTAGAGAGGTCTGGCGATAAACAATGATCTGAAAGAATCTTCACTAAAATTGTCTAAACCCCCTTTTCTGACCTTGACTTGACTTACTCTTGAAGGCAAGCATATCTGTCCTCTCTTCTAATGATGTTGGGCTATGTGCTTCCATCGTCTCCGGGGAGACAATGGAAGCACCGAGAAAACGTCTCTCAAGGAATGTGAGAAGGGACTCCCCTCTAATCGATCATTCGGTGAACCTGGACGGATCGTATATGGGTACGTCGAACGTATACATATCCGGCCCTTGTATGACCACATGCATTGTATCTATACAATGTACTTGAACGATATTCTTGGATGCTATAAGTCCGAGCTCACATTCATACGTCTCAATTTCTAGATTACGGGGACAAAAATGAGGGTGCCAATATATTCAGCAGAAGTTGAGTATAGAAGAGTACGAATTTATCTCCATACAAGCATGATATCAACTTACTGATCCTGAGCTACAGAGCTTTAAATTAGCTTTGTAGCTTAATTTCGTAGAGGTTACAAGATTCTTGGTCAGTATGCACGGAAGGGGTGGGTAAATGCCTTCAATTTCCTGCATGTATATAATGCAGCAGTGAGTCATGTACTGCGTTCAGGTTTCTCTGGATTCTGACTTTAGCCTCAGTGCCTGACCTTGGAGCGAGAGTTGTACAACTGTTAAGGCAGTGGTTGCAATTGTGCAGAGACTTCACCAAATGGATCTGGAGAATATGCAACGTGCTCGAAAAAATAGGACCCGGAAAGCTAAATAGAAATTAAAAAAAACCACTAACAATTCGGTTGTTCTTAGATAGCTAAGACATTTGTGTGACCTGCACTCTCGGCGGCTCTTCCAAGATCCACAACTGCACCATGATTGTAGTTGTTGGTGGGGTCACCGCACAGCAGGAAATTTCACGTGTGATATTCGGTTGTTCATACGAAGATTCAAGCGTTATAGTCTCAGAGAAGGTTCAGCGGGAAAGCTTTAAATTCGATCTCACAAACAGCAGACCCAGATTGAGCTGAGTTGCGATCGGGCACACACTGGCAGCCTTATCCAAGTCCGCAAGGTAAGAACAACAGATTTCAGGCTCACGATCTCTAGATCTGCATATCAGTTGCAATGCTGACATTGATCCAGCTTCATGGGCACATCACTGGATCCTTCTAACATTCAGATTTGGGGACGATTTGTCTATCCCTCTCTTCATTCTCACGATGATACCGGGATGAACAGCAAGTACTGTACGGTGGCTTTGCTTATAGGGAAGGGACAATGTGGACCTTTGAGTGATATAAACCTCAATTTTAAAGTAAGCAGAACTTGAATCTATACGTACAATCTGTCTGTCTCATTGAATTCTTAAGCGAGTTTCAGGATGTTCAAACTTCTTCTCCCGCTTTCTTCTCTTCGACTGGCTAATGCAACTCACCTTCAAGTTCAGATCAGCTTACAGATTACATTTAGCTTCAGGAGTATAGACTTCCGAACAAATTCTCGTCTTCTTAGTTTGGCTGCTCTCATTCATAGCTGCAGTTGTGGAGAGGAATGGTAATCTTCTATAGCACCTCCACTTATCTTATAGCACATTACCGTGGCACTTGGGTGGCATATGTTTTGAAGAGTCAGTCATTCGGTTTGCTTTTAGATGTCACGCTCCTGTATTGATGGAACTGCGAGAGTCAACACACGCTCTTGCAGCGGACATTCTCGTTTCGCCTGTGTCTAACGATGATTGCTGTTCTATGTTTCTTTCGACTCTCAGCCAAGACGTGTCCTAGGCGAGAACAGGTGAACTCTGGGACGGTTGACGTGGTTGAAAAGTCTGAGCACATATCAGGCGCGTACATTTGCAAGGATTACAGCTTTTTCTTTCCCTCTACGTTTACTGGGCGAATTTCCGGCTTCTGTTCAGGCACAGACAGGCTATACGTGCAAAAAGCCAACTGTTCAACTCTAATACATTGTGCAAGGTGAGCTACCGTAACAATTCTCTATACTAAATACGTGCCCTTTGAAGCACGTGCGTACTCATCCTCGATCTATCAGACTGACTTGAATTGCTCTTGGACTTGCTAGAGCCAGCACTCTTTCTGTAGATATATCCATTTAATGCAGTTTCGGACATCGGCAGTCACGATCCACTTTCTCTTGCGAGCGATTTGCTTACCTTCAAATTGGTCCACTTCTCTTTGATGCCTTGATAGTTTGATGTTGTGTGGGGAATGAATGTCAACGTCAAGCAACAGGCACATGAGTGCTGCTGCTGTTCACAAGATTCGTGCATGGTCTATCATTCCAAATCTGTTTTCAGGATACTCTTTGGCCCCGCGAGATCGTAATTGACTCGTCTTCTTAGAAAGAGGAATTATAAGAGCCCAGAACTGAATCCATGTAGACACTTGAACGTTCATTGCTGCTGCTCTCACGGGCCAAAAGCAGACGAACCACTCTGCACCTTTCTTCATGATTCTAGAGATGCATCGACCTGACGATCTCGCATACCAGGATTGTCTGTTTCGATCTGGGAGACCGAAGTGTGGGTCTGACATTGAGCCAACGTAAGAAGCTGAGAAGGATTTGAGGCGGTGCGAATTGAGAAGGAGGAGCAGAGCAGTCGGGAGCAATGCCAGACGGAGGGAACGAGGTGAGCTCGTTCTTCGACGATTTGGTACCAAATTCAGAGGTCGAAAAGAGCCCACTCACCATTCCAATCTCCGACGTTATAGACTGGAAGTCTCTGTTGGACCATCTCAGACTAACGACCAACGATCCAGCACATCGCTATTACGTCGTGACATTTCGATCCATTCGCTCCAAAGGTGCGGACGATCAGAAGCTCTATGCCGCCGATGCTCAGGCTCAAGCCGAAGCCAGACAAAGCGGAGGTCTCCTGATGGTGAGTCCACAATCTCCCTGCATCTCTGCATCTCTCATCTTTCCTCTGTCCCTTCATAATTCGTCCTTCCTTCCTGAGCTCGCTCGCGCGCGTGCGCATGCGCATGTCTTTGACCCGAACGAACACATTAGCTGCAAATAATTCTCTCGATCTGCACGTGAACTTGCTTTAACACGTCACTGTTTCTGTCTCGGGCACTTTAGTATTCAACTTCTAGGATAGCCACGAACCTGCACTAATTTTATAATCGGTAAATGGTCAGTACTGGTACGGGGCGTTGAACGAGCGACGAGAATGTTTCGCAATGTGCGTTTGGGATTCGATGGAGCAAGCTCGCAAGGCCAATGGTCTGCCCGCCCACCTCGTGGCCCGACAGCTGGCCAGAGAAATGTACGATACCTACCGATTGGAAAGGTGTTGGCTCAGAGCGGATGCCAATTTCAATCCCCTCCTGGAAAGTCTCCCTAGCAGCAGCTCGTATCACTCATGAACCATCCATCCGACCGACATCCATGTACAGGCTGATTACAGCAAGAGTTTCCGCGCATCCATTGTACAGTCTATTCGACCGTGTCCAGCGAGATATATATTTTGCCCTTGTTCCCCTGGACATTCTACCCACCCTTCTGATCGATTTACTCATTCATCCAGCTTGAGCATCGTAAGTTTCAACTTCTGACTGCACAAGGATTCGAGAGTTGACAATGTATCATGAATCTCAGAATCATGTGTAGAGTAAACAACTGTCAACTTTGGTCGAGATATATTGACCGAGATGTTTGACATGTGAAATTACTCATAAGACTCGGATCCATCCAGTTGCACATACTCAAGGCCCGTATAGTTAGTAGTTTAAACACAAATGTATTCAGTGTCTGCACCCGTTCTCCTGGAGAACGCGCCAAACTCTTCAGCTTGTGGAAACTGTGGTTTACAAGAAAAGTGGATGATGTCAAATTTGACGTCTGCGTCCTGATCCAAATGCAAGAGTGTATCAAGGGTAAGAGTTTGCATGTTTCGAGTTGCCGCATTTGAGTCGGCGGTCTGTCAGAAGATTAGTTCAATCCCACGAGAAAGTGCACTTCGACAGAATGATTGAAAACGTCGCCAACGAGAAACTGACTCCATTCAAATGCACAGAACAGTCAAGCAAATGTGACATACTTGAATACCTTGCTTCTTTTGCACTGTACTTGTTTATTGCCTTCACAGGCGATCCAAAGGGGGTTGGTGTAGCGAAACCAATAAGAAGATGAATATACATTTAGAAAAATAAAGTTTTATTCAATTATTTACTTATATCCACAGATCATACCATCCAAGAACCAGGAGGAATACAGAGTCAATGCGTGCACTACCAGAGTGTAATCAAAAGACAAGTCGACTACTTGAACACGCTTTACGGAATTCAACGGTGGCAAGGGCAAACTGCCCAACACTTCTGGCACGAGAACACTGTCTCCGCTAGATGGTCATTCAATAACCCCTGATCGGTCAGCCTCCTTGTCGAGAGAGGCATGTTACTCAGAGCCCTTCACTTTCGGCAATCGGAAACTCTCCATCCTGCAGTTTACTTTATGAATCAGCGCATTATACCTTAGACCGACACTAAAGTGTTCAGGACAACGAAGAACCCAAGTCATGAAACACCATCATTACCTACACGACGTTGCATCCCATGGTTTGGGATGAGCTAATTTGGGAAATTATTCCAGTTGTGGACTCTGGCCAACCAAATGTTTTCAGGATGCTTTCAACTCCAAATCTTTGTGAAAGCATCGTTCATTACCTCGAACCGGTGCTCAAAGCTTGCCAATGTCAGTATTATTGGATGTCCACTAAACTGGTTGGACGAGAGACTGTCTATATTCCGTATATACGATTGAGGGGCAGACGACTTCCAAACCTCCAGTCCTCTCTGATATCATCAGACTTGGCAGTTCTTCGGAGGTGGTGCGATTTTGCAGTCTAAGAACCAGCTGTGATCACTGCTTAGATGGGCGAAGAAGTCAGTCAAAGCACATTCTTGGAACTTCTTAGCCTTCTAATGACCACATCTCTCTCCGACAAGAGGAGTCCTTCGTCTCTTGTTTTAAATTCCGTCACTTGAGCTGCAAATCGAAACTGCTATCATGAAATGCTTCACCCAAGGTCATCCATCTTTCTGGAACTCAAGGACATTATCGCTCTGATATTACCATCCTTAAATCGTCATTCAGCTTTAAATTTGTTTCATCAGCAGGTTGCATTCATACAGCTTCAAATCATTTTAACGCCAGTGATTTGGAGCTGTATGAATGCAGCGTGCTGATAAAAACAAACAAGAGGCATCTGGCTTTGTAGACGATTTCCAAGGATTCCAATTGGGTCGATGGAGCCCATAGAGGATAGCTCGTCCTTTACAGTGCAGTTTCAATGCTGGCCTAAATGGCATGTCTAGTCAAACACCATGTAGTTAGTTACAGAGCAAAATCTCCAGCTGTCAAATCTCCACTTGTGTTAAATAAATAGCGTGTAAGCCCTGGATGTCTTGAACTTGTGTCCGAATATATCTAAAAGGCTAAAGTAGCTATGACGCTCGGTTTCACATGACAACTATGCCAAATGCAAAGCATACTTTCACTCCACATTTCTCTTTGCCAGTCAATGTCTAGTCTCACATAAAGAGTGTCACACTATTTTTTCTATTCAACTCAACAAATTTGTTAAGCTTTTCCTTAAGCCTGAATCTCTGGATCAATATCAGCCACTCATTAAGTTTTCGCTTGTTTGATATTAAGCCTGAATTCTTAAGCTCTCAAAGGTGCACTGCACAAACACATGCTTATTATATACCCTATAGCTTTCAAGTCTTAGAGTTTCATTCGCTGCCAAGGAATATCTCACGAGTTCTCAGAAGTTGACATCTCACACATCCGTGGAATCAAAGGTCAAAGTCTAGTTCTCCGAAAAGCAGGAAATTCTATAGTTTCTGAGAATGTATCTCGAGTGGTTCACCGTTTGAATCATATTTAATTAGTTTGTTTGAATCATATTTCATTAGTTTGTACTCTTGTCTGTCGTGACTTCATTGACAGAGTTAAATTATAAGGATTTTCCTTTCTCAATAGACGTTTTCTTTTGAGGTTTGAGGCCACGAGTCCCCAGATTCTGTCACGGTCGTATTCAGGCCAGATCCTTTGTTGTACGTACCAGATTTGTCAGAACTATTGACCAATCCGAATCTCGTGTCCTCGTTGTGCCGAAAGAGGACACGAGATTCGTTGAAATGGAACTTGCGAATAGAATTTCCTTCAATTGTGCTTGAATTCGAGACTGAGCATCCAATAATATATTGTATCTGTTGGAATTTTACGTTGAGATTGCCACTTGAAGATTAATAACTACCGGTTATTTGACTGCCTTCATTAAGTTTCGAATGTGACAGAAACTTTCAAAGTGGACATTTGTTCTCATTATTTGCAAAGTGGAACGGGATGAACTTTGAGTGAATGCTAGTTAACGTCGTGTTCGTGCACATTCGTTGTCAAAGGAAATTCTTCGAATCGTAAGCAACCGGAGACAAAGCGTACAGCGAACGATACAAAGGCAACCAAATTCACAGCTGCCCAACATCCATAGTGAAAAGAGAGCTAAACACTCTCTCCACTGTATTACATAATTATACTGGAATATCGCTTGCATCCAGATCATAACACATCGAAGCCATAAAATCTATGCTTAAGTTTCCTTCTAAAAGCAATGTTCCTTACAGTGTTTAAGGCCATGCATTTTGCAATGAGATTCAAAATTAATATACGGCATGCAAACATACATACAAATAAACACGTAAAGAATCACACCTTGCAACTACATTTCCATTTCTGACATACGGGTAAAAGAAAAAATTGATCCAAGTTTACATCTTCCATACCTCAGTTGTAGAACGTAATGTTCTTCTTTTCGTATGTTGATCTATCAGATTATATAATTACAGCTAGCTCGGAGTAGCTTCCTATGCTTTTGTCTATATGTAGCTCTTCACTATTTTGAAAGTTGTTGGATTTCAAGTTGAAATTCTCTCTCGGATTTTGAGTTTTACATAAGGCTGCTCAATAATGAACTCACATCTCTCATGTTTTGTAAACGTTGGGCCAAATCTAATTGCAACGCCATCCAAGAAATTCCTCTAACTATGATTTACTTACAACACAATGACTTTGATAATACGTACACAACATATGCATGTAATGTGCATCAAATCTCGAAACACCCAAAACAGGTAACTGAGGTACTTAATTTTTGCATTCGTTTTTTTGCCCATAAAGTATTTCTTTTACAGTTCCATAACTTGCGTAATTTTCAGAAGAAAAATGAAACATAGTGTGTAGTATAATAAGTTGGGGAGATCTTGTCACCTAGTTTTTTTTAAGCTAGATAAATTCTCTAGTCTGTCTTATTTTTGTTCATTCAGCATGTGCATATTTTTATGATATGAAGAAATTACATGGTTTTAATGTATTTCTATTCTATGTATTGATTATAAAAGAATTTCATGATTTTAAATTTTGAAGAAGTAGATTAGTTTATAGACTTTTATACTCAAATGCTTCACCTCTATCATCATCATTGCAACAAAGAGATTTAGATCTAGCTAAATGGAATAAGATTCTGTGTTATTGAATTACTACTGCCAAAATTACCGTACATTTATGTAATTAAAATCTATGTATCATGAATCTAAAAAATATTATTTTTTCCTTTCGGGAATATCGAGTTGTATAAGTAGATTTAACTCAGTACGATTTTAAGCGTCAAATTGATAATATTAAAGCGACAGAAAATAGTTTAAATGGTGTAGATTATTTGCTGAGTTATATCTTACTTATATTTTAGATCCAATAATTTAATTGATTATTATAAAATAAAAATTGATGTAATATTCAGGAAAAATTTCAAATTTTTAATTCCACAAAAATTCAAGGATATTATCAATAATAAGATCAATAAAAAATATAAATAAAGAAAAGATAATAACTCTAAATCGATATAAAATATTTTTAAAAATGAATTGTGATATAAATTTATTAATAATAATCCATTAGTAAAAGTATCTTTCAAAAAATTTACATTGAATCAAAACTCATTTCTCACTACTATTTATGAAAATTTCATAAAAATTGAATATAGACTCATTTTCTAAAATATTTTTTATGAAAATATTTTAATGAAAATTTTAAATGGTATGTTGAAATGTGTTAAGATTTACTCATATTATAATAATTTTTTAATGAATATTAATAAATTAAAAAAATCTACATGGATTTTTTAAAAATAGAATTAAAAAAGAGTTAAAAAAATTTGAAAAAACTGCCAAAAAACTAAGATTTTTTATTTTTATTTTTCTTTCCATTTCACTTAAAAATAATTTGAACTTCATATAACATCCATTCTTGTATGTGAAAAATATATTTAGCTAATTAAAGTTTTAGTGGAAATTTGACATACTGATATAATCTTTAATCTTCAAATAAACACAATAATCTGCAGTCGTGGCCCATCCCTTTGGTTCATCGTGACCTTTACGTCAGCAACTTTGAGAGAGTTTCAATTTCAAACAATAGGTCTGACGTTAAGTTAGACAGCATGAGCTGCAGTGATTTGTAATTCAGAAATTGTCGATGGATTTGATGTTTTGGAGCATGACGACTTGATGCATAGGTGACTCCAAATTCACCATTATTTGGAAGTTTGGCACAACATTGACTAAGCATTTCTTAGATCATTCTATTTGTAAGATGTTCTTGTAAATATCGTGAAACGGTTGGCCGATGGAAAAAATCCCTATTGGTTGGTGGCAATAATCCTAGGTGCCATTCCTACAAAAGTACATCTAGAGTTTTGTGCACTCACTTGTGAATATCATTCTACAAAGTCGGATTCCTTTTCTCTTCATCGTTGGCCACTCAAACATGTACACGAGATGAGATCATCTTTCTTGAGAAGAACACACCTTGTTGGTT